AGGTTGGAGGAAGGAAACACATTTTGGCTTCTTTTTCTCTCACCGTAGCTGCCCCTGGCCTAAAGGTGCCACACCCTGCCTGAAGATGAAGACTCATTCTCTTTGTAACGAAGACTATGGCAAGAGGCTTATGCCAATATTAGGGTCAATTCCTGCCAGGAAAGAGCCCCTTATCAGCTCTGGAGTAAAATTCCAGAGGAATTTCTGGAGGTAGAAAGGAGCACATCTATGCAGACCAGAAGCCTGCCCTCCAGACTTGGTCTCTGGCCCTGTCACACTTGGTCAGCAGGGGCCTCTTTTCCTGTGACAGCTTTATTAGCCCACAATCACTGGATCCTACTTTCTGCTTCCTTTGAACTACATGGGCTGCCCTCACTGTCCAAAAGTATTCAACATAAAAGAGGGATACTTCTCTTACGTATGTTTCAACAAAATCTGGAAATATCGTTCAACTTTTATTCTCTACTTGTGTCCATCTGGGAAACTTTTAGGCCAGAAACCACAACAGAACAGGAAGCAGTTGTATTAAAAGGGCAGTGCAAGTAAATGGAGTGAAGGAGGAGGGTTCCTGGTAACTTCTACACTGAAGAAGAAGGAAACTGTTTTGACATGGAAATAATAGATCCAGGAAAGCTGGGAGAGGTGCCAGGAGAAGTGTGCAGGTGCCAAAATCGGCAAAAGAATACAATGTCTTTCCCATTCCTGTCTAGGAGCTTCCTCCCAATTTCAGATATTGATTTAAGCCACTGTGCCGACTGAATATAGGTCAAACATATCTTTGATATGATGCATACCTGTTTTTCAGTCTTCAAGGTTTTTGCCAGAATTCAGTTGACTTTGGTCAGTCAGCTATCAAGAGTGAGATGGTATAGTTTCAAACCAGTTTATAGAAAATGACATGTAATATTCTCATATAGGTTTATATGTAGAAAACGAAGACAATGGCTATCAATTATTAAATGTTAACTCTGAGGAAGGAACGATCCTAAATGCTTTAAAATGTACTTACATCAGCTCTACAAATATTTTTTACTCCATATTCCATTTAAGAAAAATGAAACTCAGGCAAGTTGAGTTGCATCTGGGCAGAATGTGGGTTCCATGTAGAATCCCACATAGTGAGTTATGGTTGATTCTTTAAGTTATATATTGGGTTTCTGTTTTGTTTTGTTTTTATCTATTACTTGCAGAATTATTCTTTCTCTTTTTCCCTGTACTTCTCTTTTTGATGGCTACATTTGTACTTTCTGATGATTTTAATATATTTTTGCTCTTTCCCTTAGATTTTTGTGGAAGAGAAATTCTCCAATCCAATTTCATTTTTCCATTTGATGAAGGAAGTTTCTCAAAATTTTACATTCATTGCAGTATGGTCATTTCTGAGTCCACAAAATTTCATGATTTTTATAAAGCCAATGCTGACTTCTGTAGAACAATTCAAACGTTAATCAGGAAAGATCATCAAGCAATAATATCAAAGAATAGAACAGGAAAAATTCTTACATACCTAGCCTTACCATCTTTACATACCAGCTTACATACCAGCTTCACCACAAATCAACTGTATTTATAAAACAGCAACAATATAAACACGGTGACAGTAATGAAAGTTAGGTGACCAGAGTAATAAAGAAAATAATCCCAGAAATTGTGGTATTATCAGTAATAAGTAATTTTGGAATTAAGGGTATCTTAGATGTTAATAAGGAAGAAAAGTAGTTTCAGTAAATGGTAACAGGATAAATACCTGGCAATCTAGACACAAATCAATTTAGATTCTCGTCTCATAGATGAAGATAAAATCCTAATAGAATATAGAAATAAATGTAAAAGATATAAAATATAAAAGGGAACTGATCATTCTTAAGATCGATAGAGGAATGAGAATGGGAGAGGACTGGTCCTATATGTTCAACATTCTGGCACAGGAGAAAATACTTAAAAATGAGCTGTTATTTGTCAACATAAAATTGACAAAGAGTTGCATCATAGGAATACAGCTGCCATCTGCATAGAAAGGTTTATGTCTACTTTTAAGAATTAAAGATATATAAAACATCATTCATAAGGACAATACAAAAGTAGTTAATATAAAATAAAACCCAAATAAAGAGAACTAAAAATAGCAAACAAAGCAAAAGAAAAAACTTTCTAGCCCACTAGTATTTTAAAACTGTTGAACAATGATGCTTGACATTTTAGCCCATTAAATAAGCAGTTATTTAAAAAGAAATAAAATATCGATTTTATATGCTTTGTGCCACTACATCCATTTCTTGAAATCTGTCTCCCCAAAAAAATGTTTGTAAAAGGTTAAAAAAATTAGGTCCAATAATATTAACACACATTTTTTCTTCAGGTCCTACCCTATTTCTCTTCTCTTTACAGATAAACTTCTCAAAAGAACTTTCTATCCACTCTGTCTCCAACACCTTTCCTCTTATTTAACCTTAGTCAATATACTCCAGTCTGGATTCTATGGAATTAATTCTGCCAAAACAGCCCTCACTTTCCCTGAATACAAGACATTGGCTTTTAAACACATTTCTTTCCTTAAATATCTTCTCATCACCATTCTTTCCTGGTTGTCCTCCTATTGTGCTGCCATTCAATTCCAGCGCCCTTTTCAGGCTCCTCATTCTCTTCCCTGCATTAAAATGTGAAGGTCCCTAAGGTTCAGTTTCTGGTCATCTTCCTAGTCTCTACTCTCTTTCTAAAAGAACTCATTCATTCTCTGGCCTTCAGGGACCAGGTAGACCCCAGCTCCCAAGTTAACACTTCTAGCCTTGACCCTCTGTAAATTCTAGAACTGTATGTCCAACTGTCAAAGTTGAGAGTCTGCATCCCCCAGTTTCTGGTGATAGGAGCTACTTTTCTTTTGCCTATGGTGTTAGCATATAATGTAGTTGAAATTAATTAATTGATTAATATTTTTATGTTTTCTTCCAGCAAAAAGGAAAGTTTCAAGAAGGCTGGCACTTTCCTTTCTTTCATCACCTTTTTATCCTGTGAAGGCAGTCATAGAACCTGTAATTTAGATACTCAAGTGTTACATATCGCTTGAATGAAATCAATGAATGAATGAACTGTACCTCCATACTTCACTTGAGGTTGCAATATCAGTCTTGGCATTGATTTATTAAAAATATTGAAATACAATAAATATAGCAAAATAGATAGTTAAGTACATAAGTACATTAATAGGGTCACCTATGTTGGGCTGGTGCCCTCTTTGAACTGGATGCTTTAACTTATAGTTGCTTAATACTATCAACAAATGTTGTGACAAACTTTGTTCAATTTATTTCATGATGAAGGCAGAAAAAACAGTCTTTTGAAATGACTAAACATGTGGGAGTATGATGAATTGTATCTCTCCATAAGAATTGTTTCATTAAGATTATAGGTCTGGTTCCTTAGCTCTTAACGTTCCCTGCAAGCTTGACAATAAAGAGAAGGATCTCATGATTTCCTGCTCTAACAACTTCCCAGGTACAGCAGTTCTATTCTTTCTTTTCCATATAGAAATTGATTCCTTGGAAATACCTCTTCATGGCCAGTATGGAGTCCTTCCATCCTCAATTCCTGCACCAAGCAGGTCTCAAGGACTTCCCAATGCTGATAAAGTCCAGGGAAGAACTTCTCCAGGCCAGTCTCATTCCAACCATCCTTTTATGCTGAACAGGTTGAAGATCTGCTGAAGCATCTGGTGGAGGACAGCAGTGGTCTGAGCCTTCTGGACCTTGCTGCTATCCACCAAAAACAACAGAAAACAATTGGAACCAGCTAACTGTCCATCAGTAGGGGCCTAGTTAAATAATTTATGACACACCCATTCAATGGGAAACAATACAACTGTTTAAATAGATAAAGAAGTTCTCTATGTATTGAAGATCTCCAAGTGAAAAAAGATAGCTGCAGAACAGTGAGTGGGGCATGCCATCTTTTATATAAAAATAGAGAGAGGGTAATAAAAGAATATAGCTATATTCTTATTAGTTTGCATATGTGTAAAGAAACTGGAAGGATTTAAAAGACAGTAATAACTTCAAACTGTGAAAACTGTTGGAAAAATTGTGTCAAAGTATACATTTATTCATGTGCCAAAATTTAAATTTACTGGTAATTAAAGAAATACAAGTTAATAAAATATCCACAAAGGGAAAGATCAGTAGAGGGGAAATGCACACTCAAACATTGCTGGTGGCAATATTTTGGAAACAAATTTTTATGTCTTGAATCACTATTTTACCCTTAGGATTTATAGAGAAACAAGGGAAAGGTTTGTGCCCAGATTCTATAGGTTTATTAAGATTCTATAAAACAATGGGAGAATGAAGGTATATTCAAGAACAAACAATGGGGAAAAAAAACTACAGTATGTTTAGTTATTGGACAATTGTGTACTCATTTAAAAATTTGTGAGTGGAAAACAAAAGTATGAAAAAATTATCGATGTTGGAATTCCACTGAGAGGCAAAAATTCAGGCTATATTATCTACATAGCATGGTCACAATTTGGTATTTTAAGAGAGACAAATGATATGTATTTTAAATAATGAAAAATTTGAAAACATGAACCAAAGTTACAATTGAGGTGTCTATTACTTTGTGTGGGATAAGAATTATAAAGTTTTTAATAGAGGAAAATTTTCGTGCAACTTCCCCTTATGCCGTCATCTGCCATATTTCCTTTCAATTTCTACAAAAGCCGCATTTTATTGTTATTCAAAATACAGAAGCCAGTAAGCATAAATCTTAAAGAAAAAGTACGCATTTGTGGGGAGAGCTCAGATGCCGTGAAGAGTTGACAGCAAACGTGCAGCATAATATACGGGCACCCCTTCCGGGCCTATTGAATCCCACAGACAAAGCGACCCGCTGAGGCTCCGCTCGCGCCCACCCCCACCTTTCCAGAGCCCTGCGCCCTTCCTCCCCAGCCTCCACACGCCCGCCCACTGACAGGTCGGGCGGTCGCGCAGGCGCAGTAGCTGCCGCGGCCGCTCCTAGCCCGGGGGATCCTGGGACTCGGCCTTTCCGGAAGGACCGGCTCGGCGTCTGGGTCTAGGCCCGTGTTCCAGGCCCAGATCCAGGCCCAGGCCCGTGTTCCAGGCCCTTGCTCCAAGACAGACGCGTGGCCGCGGCGACGCTCTCGTGACAGCGGAGGGCGCAGCGGGCCGCTCGCTGAGCTGCCCGGCCTCGCCGCCGAGCGAGCCGCGGAGCCACAGTACGTGGCGGCGCTCCCCTCGGCTCGGAGCGGAACTGCTGGAGGAGCGGCGGCGCAGGCCTGACCAGCTGAACCGGGTCACTTAACTGGCTTCAGGTGATGAATCATCTGTATAATAGTCAGATTTGAGGTCCACAGCGCTTTGTGGTCCTGCGCCAGAGCGGTTTTCAGTGGATGACTGATTGGTGTGTTCCGAGGGGTGCCGCAGTGATTGCTTGCCCTTGCTAAGGAAAGCGAGCTCTCCTGCTCTTTGGACATCCTCGTTTCCTAAAGCGTTCAGGTTGTGACCTCTGTCTCCGGCATACGTCTTTGTGCAAGAGGAAGGCTTTCACATGAAAGTGTCTCTTGGTAGCGGCGAGATGGGCGTTTCTGCCCATTTACAGCCTTGCAAAGCAGGAACCACGCGTTTCTTTACCAGCAATACTCACAGTTCGGTGGTATTGCAAGGCTTTGATCAGCTCAGAATAGAAGGATTGCTTTGTGATGTGACCCTGGTACCAGGTGATGGAGATGAAATCTTCCCTGTTCACAGAGCTATGATGGCATCTGCTAGTGATTATTTCAAGGCTATGTTCACAGGGGGAATGAAAGAACAAGATTTAATGTGCATTAAGCTTCATGGGGTGAACAAGGTTGGTCTGAAGAAAATAATTGATTTTATTTATACTGCAAAACTTTCTCTTAATATGGACAATCTTCAGGACACACTTGAAGCTGCCAGCTTTTTACAAATTTTACCTGTTTTGGACTTCTGTAAAGTGTTTCTTATTTCAGGAGTCTCTTTAGATAACTGTGTTGAAGTTGGGCGAATTGCTAACACCTATAATCTTATAGAAGTGGATAAATATGTCAATAATTTCATCCTGAAGAATTTTCCTGCATTATTGAGTACTGGGGAGTTTCTAAAACTCCCTTTTGAACGGCTTGCCTTTGTGCTTTCCAGTAATAGTCTTAAGCACTGTACTGAACTTGAGCTCTTCAAGGCTGCCTGTCGCTGGCTAAGGTTGGAAGACCCTCGGATGGATTATGCTGCAAAATTAATGAAGAATATTCGATTTCCACTGATGACACCACAGGACCTCATCAATTATGTGCAGACAGTAGATTTCATGAGAACAGATAATACCTGTGTGAATTTGCTTTTGGAAGCTAGCAATTACCAAATGATGCCGTATATGCAACCAGTGATGCAGTCAGATAGAACTGCTATTCGATCTGACTCGACACACTTGGTTACATTAGGAGGAGTTTTGAGACAGCAGCTGGTTGTCAGTAAAGAATTACGGATGTATGATGAAAGGGCACAAGAGTGGAGATCTTTAGCCCCCATGGATGCTCCTCGTTATCAGCATGGCATTGCTGTCATTGGAAACTTTCTTTATGTAGTTGGTGGTCAAAGTAATTATGATACAAAAGGAAAAACTGCTGTTGACACGGTTTTCAGATTTGATCCTCGGTATAATAAATGGATGCAGGTTGCATCATTAAATGAAAAGCGCACATTCTTCCACTTGAGTGCCCTCAAAGGACATTTGTATGCTGTTGGTGGGCGAAGTGCAGCTGGTGAACTGGCTACAGTAGAATGTTACAACCCAAGAATGAATGAGTGGAGTTATGTTGCAAAAATGAGTGAACCCCACTATGGCCATGCTGGAACAGTGTATGGAGGCTTAATGTATATTTCAGGAGGAATTACTCATGACACTTTCCAAAACGAGCTCATGTGTTTTGACCCAGATACAGACAAATGGACACAGAAAGCTCCAATGACTACAGTCAGAGGCCTGCATTGCATGTGTACAGTTGGAGACAAGCTCTATGTCATTGGTGGCAATCACTTCAGAGGAACAAGTGATTATGATGATGTTCTAAGCTGTGAATACTATTCACCAACCCTTGACCAGTGGACACCAATTGCTGCTATGTTAAGAGGTCAAAGTGATGTTGGAGTTGCTGTCTTTGAAAATAAAATCTATGTTGTAGGTGGATATTCTTGGAATAATCGTTGTATGGTAGAAATTGTCCAGAAATATGACCCAGAAAAGGATGAGTGGCATAAAGTTTTTGACCTTCCAGAGTCACTTGGTGGCATTCGAGCTTGTACTCTCACAGTTTTTCCACCTGAAGAAAACCCTGGGTCACCTTCTAGAGAATCACCTCTTTCAGCACCTTCAGATCATTCTTAGGAATAAGGTGTAATACCTTTGCAGTGCATCATGGATGATCTCTTTCCCCTTCAGCTGTATCTTCTTAACAGTGATTGGTAGTTATTAGATAAAAAGGTAACTGATGTTATTTGTGTTGTTTGGCTTAATGTGTTTATCAATGGTTAACAAATGTGTTCTGAAAATGTATTCAACATAGCCAACTGTTTTAACAAATGTAAAAAGATATGTAGAAAAATGTTCAAGTTAGATGTCTTTTTGTGGTGTTGTGTAAGTCAAATTGTAGGTGATTGTAGTAAATGTATAATTATGTTCATTATGCTTCAAAGTTGAAAGTTTTCATCTTTGACCGCAAAACATCAAAGGGAGGCTGTGTGCTCTAACCTAAAAGAATAAACAAAAGATCACAAGCGTTATTAGCTACCTCCCTTTTTTCATAGAGTTTTTGCCATAGCTCCCAACTCACCAGATTGTGTGAGTGCATTCAGATAATGTGAAGTTTCTTAGGCAGACAGGAGAAACAATAAATTCAGAAATATTAACTAGAAAAAACAGCATAGCCCTAAGTCAGGGTTTAGTATCTCTTTGGAGAGAGGGACAGGGAGAGAGAAAATATAAACAAACACACATATACATACATACATATGTATATATGTACATACACATATACATGTATAATTATTAAGTTGATTGGCTCTTCAGCTATAGTAGAATTGGTTTTAAATTTAAATTATTTTCTTTCATGTAACAGCTATTTCTATTTAAATGGGAATTCAGTACCAGAGAATAAATGTCTATATAGTCATAATTGAATTGAGATAGATAAGGGCTACAGCATATTAAATTGACAACCAAATTTGTCATTTGACTAAATTGTTACTTCAGATGAAATGTCTACTACTTTTTCTGCTTGTATATTATTTTCTGTAGAGTTGCTTTTATACAGGTTATTTAGCAAAGTTTAGGTTTCCGAGAATTGTTTTGCTCAGTAAATTTAGGCTCTGCTATTTTCCACCTTTTTCTTTGGTAAAACTTATGATATGAAAAAAGCAAAGAAAGAAATGTGCTGAACAAAGCTATAGGATTGTAAGTTCAGTCTCCCAACTTAGTCATCCTAGCGTGATTATTTGATCTGGTGGGGTTGCCGTGGTGCTGCACCACCCCATGTGGGTCCTGAGCTTTATGTGACCTGCCTCGAGCCTATGATCTGAGCAAGCAGGTGATATGCTCTTGTCTGCATCAAATCAGAAGAATGTCCTTACGGCTATGTCTAAAGGACAGGACCAACTTCAGATTCCCTAAGAAGCCAGCTACAGAAAGCCTAGGACACTGCTGTCTTGCAGGCAGTACTAAATGAGATTTTCAGCCTCTTCAATACCTAGGGCATCTCTAATGGTTGAGAACCACATGGGGAGATCTTAATGGGACCTTAGCAAATGGAATCATAGGAGTCCTCTGTAGTGATTCTAAAGAAAAGCTTTCCTGGAATAAATTGTCTACCTGAAGAAAAATTTACATATATATATTTACATACCTATATATGTATATCCCTATACTTGGGAGATTGTCATAGTGTAAGTCAGGAACAACCTCGTTATTGACAATCCCATAATAAAACTCAGGAACCAAGACAGAAGGAATTGGCTTCCAGAGATCTGACCCTTATTGCCCATACGAGTGTTGATTGATTTAATGCTTTTTGTGATTTCTGCTTTGGCAGAAATTTTCATACTTTCTGTGTTTTTTTAATGACTCACTTTTTTATTACTAAAAATAGCACATTTGAGTACATCTAGAAAATAGAAAAAGTAGAAATTACTGTTAACCTTGTGCATTGAATAAGCAAGAAATGCCATTCTAATAATTTCCTCGATTATTAATAAGGTTAAATATTTGTGTTTTTTGAGTAGGTGTGTTTCCTCTTTAATCGAATGTTCATGTTCTTTGCCTTTGTAATGCCTATTAGAGTTGCTTTGTTTTTCATATCAAGTTATAGCATCTCTTTATATAATAAATGTAATTTAACTAGCATTTGCTTGCATTGACTTTTTTTCCTCAATCTATTACAGTTTTACAAAGGCAGGGCCAGTCAGTTAATTTTTGAGATCAAATTTGTCCATCTTTTTACATTTTGACGTTTTGGGGATAATTTTGCTATGGTTCCTTTATTTCTTATATAGTATTGCTGTATCACTTTTTCAGTGCTAATTCTGACATGCTGATGTGGTATTGCCCTGCTTGTCTTCTATTCCGTACAAGCTTTTCTCTTTCCCTTGTTGAACAAAGCTTTTTGCCTTCTGTTACGTTCTACCCTGTTGCTTTGTAGTTAACTGAATATTGCTTAACCGGGGGAGCTAACTGCTCCACTTACATCCCTTACCTCCAGCCTCACACATTCCACCTCTCATCCTTTTACTTTATAATTTTCTGCAGTTGACAGCTCTCTTGGCAGTCATAAAACAGCAAACTGATGCTTTGTTAATACTGCTAATTAAATCTGGAATTCTTTCCTTACAGATATGGAAATTTTAGGTGGCTTTGAAATGATTGACTGGAAAGAGATGTTATTTTCATAAGCTGATAATTTTTTACAGAAAATTTAGCCTATGTAAAAATATTTGGAAGAGGATAAAAAAACTGCAAGTACATAAAGCAATGTTAACTCATTTCTTGTTTTAGTTTTTCTGATAAGTTCAAAAATTAACATTTGTTAGTTTTTCTAATTATAAAAGTAATTTATAGAAAGTACAGGAAAATAAAAGTGAACAAAAAGTGTAAATTATCAATGATTCCACATGCCAAATGTAATTTGTGTTAACACCGGGTATTTTATGCGTATACATATGTACAGCCATTTGTCAAATATTTTTCAGATATGCCAGACCCTAAACTAAAATCTGGCTGATAAAAGGAAAGAAATCCATCTTCCAAAGACACACACTGCTATCATTATGACTTTTTCTCCAGGTTTTCTAAAATGTGTATATATTAGAAAATATGTAAAGTGCTTTTTTCCTAATTATCAAGTGCATGTGCATTAAGAAAAACAGATTCCATTTTTACCCAGACAAATCCATATTTAATTTTTTTCCTACTTGCCAACGGTACTAGTTTTGTAGTTTACCTGTAAAGCAAACACATTCAGTCATGTTCAAATTTTTCTGGCTTGTAATTAAAATTATCTTGCTCTGATTATAAAGACAAAATATGCTCCTACAGAACTTTTCATTCAAAACTACAGAAAGAGAAGTAAAACCAATGTCCTATCCCAGTTCAACCAATTATTAACTCCTGAAAGACCTTGGGGTAAGTTAACATCTCTCAACTTCAGTGTCCCCATTTGTCTATGGAACTGGGGGTGAGTGTTAATAATTTTATCTATATCAGAATTATAAGGAGAAAATGTTATAAAGTGATTAGCACAAGATATGCACAGAGAAGCATTTAGTAAATGAGTTATTAACTAATTTGGCATCAGATTGCATCATCATTTTTGACTAGTTTCATCTTGATTTTCACAGGCTATTTTCTTTGAAAGTATTAAATGTCTATGCAATACAATGTCAAAATGTCATCTGTGACTATGCCTTCATATTTTTTTCCCTTTCCCTATGAGTGTAGATTTAAATATATACTGTAAATTTTCACCATTATAAATTAAGCAAGATTTAATATTCTTACATAAAGTTGTGTCCATGTCTATTACCCTGTGATAAATTCTAGGAAGTAAAATCTGAGCCAAATCGTTTAGGCTCTTCAAAAATATTTCCAGGAGTGTACCAATACGCATTTCCAGCAGCATGTGTCCAGCAACTATTTCAAAAGAAATCTTTGCAGTTCTAGTTATCTTACTGTTTGGATTTATATTTCTTTAATTACTGGCAACACTGAAGGTTTTGTTTATTGAGCATGTGGATTTTTCATATGTGAATCATTTCTTTTGCTTTAAATGTTCTATTTGCTGCAGAGACTTTTTCCCTCAATTTATGACATTTTTATGGTGGCATGTCTATTCATTTTTTTTATTGAGATATAATTGACATTAGTTTCAGGTGTACAACATAATGATTTGATATATGTATATATTGTCAAATGATCACCACAATAAGTCTAGTTAACATGCATCAGTATACAGTTACAAATTTTCGTTTCTTCTAATAGAACTTTTATAGCCAGCCTTGGTGGTCTAGTGGTTGAGATTTAGCGTTCTCACTGCTGTGGTGAGCCGGGTTCATTTCTCTGTCAGGGAACCACCCATCTGTTGGTTGTCGTACTGCGGAGGCTGCTGTTGCTGTGGTGTTGAAAGCTCCGCCATCAGTATTTCAAATACCAGCGGGGTCGCCCAGGGTGGACAGGTTTCGGTGGAGCTTCCAGACTAAGGCAGAGTAGGAAGAAGGACCTGGCCGCCCACTTCTGAAGAAATTGGCCATGAAAACCTTATGAATAACAGTGGAGCACTGTCTGATACAGCGCCAGAAGGTGAGAGGATGGCGCAAAAAGACTGGGCAGGGTTCTGCTCTGCTGTACACAGTGTTGCTAGGAGTCAGAACTGACTGGAGAGCACTAACAACAGTGAGAACTTGTAGGATCTCTCTTAGCAACTTTTATATATACAATACAGTATTATTAACTACAGTCACCATGCTGTACATTACATCCCAGGACTTACTTATCTTATAACTGGAAGCTTGTACCTTCTGACCACCCTCACCCATTCAATTTAATGTAGTCAAATATGTCCATCTTTTTTGCATTTTGACCTTTTGGTGATAATTTTGCTGTTTCTTTACCTAGCACTCATGTCAAATTCCTTGTCCTTTAGCCTATTGCTTTGTTGGTGCTAATTCTTAACATGCTGTGGTAGCATTTACTGCTTGTCTCTTGTTCAAATAGCTTTCTTTCTTTCTAGTTGAAATGAAGATGAATTTTTCTTATAAATTTATAAACATTTCTTTTATATTAAGAATATTAATCTGTATTTTCAGCAAGTATTTTCCATCATTTTTCTTTGAGTATATGTCCTAACATGCAAGGTTTTTTTTGTAATGTAGTGAAATTAGTTTTTCCTTTGTCATTTTTTAATGCTTTCTTGCATAATTTTTTCCCATCATGAGATGATATAATTGTCCCAGTATTTTGTTATTTTTATGGATCTGACTTTTAACTAGACTTCTGGTATAAAATTTAATGTGTTTTTAAATTATTACCCAATTGTTCCATTACTACTTTTTGAATAATCTTCACTTTCTCACTGAATTTTTATGCTTTTTAAAATCATATATTTATAACATGGGCAATTTAGGATCTTTTTCTTTAGTTCCAATGATCTTTATTCAAGTTATGTTTGGTTTACAGACTGCTGTTTTAAAGGGAATTTTGTTTTCGCCTTATATTTCAAACTCCACTGCAGTAGTAGGAGAAACATGGTTTTAGCGTGTTGATTTTTTGTCATCATTACTCTCATTCTTACAGTTTTTTGGGTGGAACATTATTCATTGATTCTTAACAGTGTTTTGGGTGAATTCTCTTGTGATTTCACCTTAAAGAATCATATTATCTGCATAGTGTAAAAACCTTGTTTCATATTATTTGTTTCATAACTTAAAGCATTGGTTAATACTTCCAGCAAAATTATGGTGCTACGAGGCATTGTGTCTTACAGGTAATTTTAATAGGGCTAATTCTAGTTTGGAATTCCTTTGTTAAAGAGAGATATTCTTGATCTTGTTCATGAAGTATTTGTTTATTCCTCATTAATTGTGAGTCTTAAAATGAGAGATTCATATTTTCATCACAATCACTTATAAAAATTTATTGAGGTGGCAATTTAATTTCTCGCATTTCAGATACTGAAGAAGAGTTTGATTTTTTATTGTTCCCAACTATTGGGTTAGAAAGCAATTTGGCAAGAGTAGTAAAAGATTATCTTCCAAATTTCATACCTTCTGGACATTGTGTATTTCTGGAATTAATGACAAATAAGTAAGCCAAAAAAAGGTCATCTCAGCATGATACTATTTTTATTTGCTTCCTAATATGACCCATCAGACTTTCCATAAATTTACTTTTAAAAATGAATATTTTGGAATTCTTCCCACCCTGATTTTGTTACCTTATCTATGTCTCTAGTATCCATTTTTAAGCATATATTTGAATGGGTGAATGATGGTTAAAACAAAAAGACTTAGGTATTCGTTAAAGATGATTGCATACACTGCAGAACTGTTGAAGTTGTGTTCCTTACCAAATGCACTAATAATAGGTAGTTCCGTTTTCTTAGTCTCTGAGCAACCACTTTCTAGGGAGCTGGTGTTATTCTGCCATCTACTGGTTGCAATTAAAAGTCCTTGTTTAGATTCCAGAAAATGTATCCCTTTTAAACACAACGGTAATGATGAAAACCAATAGAAACTTTTATAGCATATGTGAAAGTTGAAAGTCTTAAGATCATACTCAATTACATAAATAAATATTAAAAAAACCTATAGTAACTCTTGGTGTATACAGTGGGTTAGATATTCAGAGAAGAATATATTTTTTGATATCACATAAAAATACAGATTTAAGTTCCCATAACTTTTATTTTATTGATAAATTCATATAATTTAAATGTTATCGAAAATATGCAACATTCCATCTGGAGTCTAAGCATTCATATCCATTACTTGGCTTTTTTTTTTGAGTGCATTCCCCATCCCTTTTTTATTTTTATTTATTTTGTTTTATTTTTTTGGTGAAGAAGATCAGTCCTGAGCTAACATCCGATGCCAATCCTCCTCTTTTTGCCGAGGAAGATTGGCCCCTGGGCTAACATCCATGCCCATCTTCCTCTACTTTATATGGGACGCCACCACAGCATGGCTTGACAAGTGGTGCGTTGGTGCGCTCCCGGGCTCAGAACCTGCCACCCCCGGGGCCGACGAAGTGGAGCGCGCAAACTTAACCGCTGTGCCACCAGGCCTACCCTGTTTCTTTTTATTTTTTAGCAGAGAGCCTTAGCATGAAGACACTTATAGAGTAAATCTTTTCAATGGCAGAAAGAGTGTACTATGCAATATATCCAGGTATAATATTGTAATATTCTAAGAGCTTTTTATATTGGTTTGCCATGTGGATGCTAGCATCATATCACTGTTCTAGCCACACAGCTTTCATCCAGCCCAGAGAGCAACACACGTACATAAGCACACACACGCATGATACACAATGACTTCTGGACCAGCTCTTCCAAATTCTTTTTAGTACCATCCCTGGGCTCAAAGAAAGCCTGTTTCTTGGCTATGGGAACAGGAAGAGGGGCATAATTACACATTTCCTCATTCTGCAAAACATTGTCTCAGAGAAAAATATTCTCCTACCTTAACCATTCTTTCCCTCAGGATGGATGTGACTGAAAACAGGTGACCTCTTAATAGTGCCTCCTGAAGGATATCAAGAGTGCAGATATCCCATATTTCTTTTCTAGATAGAACTGAAGGAACAAGGTTATATTTCATGCAATCTTAGAACAAGATGAGTATAAAGCCAAGGTCTGTGACCTGCACTCAGATGTTTCATTGTGTACAGCCCCTTCTCCAATTCTAAGTTCATACGGTATTCTGGCTCTTTACTGGTCCATCTTGCAGAATGCTCTTACTATAGAGGTAGAGGTTTGTCGTTCTTTCCCTCATTTCACTCAAGAACCAGACAGTAGAGTCTGTGTGTGTGGGTGTGGGGCAGGTCTAATTTCCACTGATTCAAAAGACTTTATCTTAGTTGAAGTACAGTTTATCACTAGGAAGTCAAAATATTCTTGCAGCCAGGAATTAGTGATTCATAAAACTTTCTAATTCATGGTAAATCATGAACCAAAACATAGTCAATGTAAAATCCTAATTTACAGTCAGTAATAACATTTATTTCTTCATACTAGGCAGAATGTTTACTTCAGTTTTTTATTAATCTCTCCATCCTTCTCCAGATGAGAAAATCACAGATTTCACAAAACCTTTTACGTATTATATGTATACAGATACACTTGAAGGCGTCACTTAAGCTTGAAAACTGGAGAAAGAGGGTTTTCTAATCTTCGAGGCTGGTTCTCCATTAATGAGCTCACTCGTGAGTGTTGTTCCTAGCCGAGGCCCCAGATATCATGAAGCAGAGACAAGCCACGCCTTCTGTGCCCTGTACAAATCTCTGACTCACAGAATCTGTGAGAATAAGACAATCATTATTTAGCGTGATACATTTTGGAGTAATTTGTTTCAAAGCTATAGCAATGGGGACAGAAACTGTGTATCGGGAGTGGAGTGATACAAAAAACTAAATAGATTACAAGCCCTATTTATCAGATCAGATTGAGTATGAGACTGTAAAGCCCTTTAAGACTTCAGAAAGATCTAAGGTGTTGCCTCATACACTTTCAAACAAAAGGTCTTCTAAAGATCCTAACGGGGTGCCTCATAGATTCTCTCCATTAAGCAACAGGACTCTAAGAAACCAAGTTGTCTCCCAGAAGCCTCATGGGTAGCCCAAAGTGGAAAAGGGTGTATTTGAAGAGATCCGCAGGTGTGCCTATTGTCTGATGACACTCACTATAAATTGATATACAGCAAACCCACTAAATATTTAAAGTAATTATATCAGTTTAGACTGAAAGTAAAAGAGCACACAAAATAAAGAGGACTTTGTACCCCAAAACTTTTCCAGAAAGGAAGTAGGCCGAGAAGCCTATACAATGAAAACGTGAGCCACTTCTTGTAGAAAAGGAAGGATGCCTTAAAAGGCAGAACCAGGAAACTAGAAGATAAAAATCAGCCATGGAGAATAACTCCCAGAGAGAAGGGCTGAGCCCCAATCTGAAAACTGACACCACTCCCTCTAATGGATACCAGAATTACAATAGGCCAGTGATTGCTGAACTCTGCTTTCCCCCATTTTGAATGGGAGTGTCTATTATGTTATCTTATGTCTGTTTTAGACATTGTGTTTTGAGAGTAAAGGGAAAAATAACCTCTTTATTTAGAGTACAGGTCTTCACATTGAGGAAAGGGCCCTCAAGGAACAGTGCTGGAGGAATTGCACCTGAGGAGCTCCAACCACACCTTGATCTGACAGAGATGGTGAAACTCTGGACTTGGATCTTTGCCAAATGCCACAATGAGATGTGACTTTGGAAGGTCTTGAGAAGTGGTGAATGTATTTTACATGTGAAAGGAGTGTGACATTTTGTGAACTGTAGCGGACTGCATTTTCCAAAGACAGTAGCAACGATATCTCCCATTACACATATTTTTCTAGAATGTTGAAAGTCCTCCATCAAGAGATATACCATCTAATTCCTCTCTCCTTGAATCTGAATGGGCTTGTGACAACTAGAATGTGGATAAATGACACTGTGGTTTCTGAGGCTAGGTCATAAAAGGCAATGCTGCTTTCCTCCTTGCTCACTGAGCCATCATAAAAGAAATGAGGTCACTCGGAGGACATCATGCAGCAAAGCAGCCGAGACCACGTAGAGAGGCCTTGGGAAGGTGCTGCTGTCCACAGCCCCAGCTGAGATCCCAGCTGACAGACATCAACCACCACGATACATCTGAGGGAAGAAATATCCAAATTATTATCTACATATTCAAAATCACCCCAAGCCATCCAGTCTTCCCAGATGAAATCTGAGACACTGTGGAACAGACAAGCCATTCCTGCTGCACTCGGCCCAAATTCCTAATCCACAGAGTCTGTGAGCATAAGAAAATGTTTGTTTTAAGATACTAAATTTTACAATAATTTGTAACAGCAATATTTACTATAACATACTCTATCTCAGGGTCAACTAATAGAAGGAGCGGAAAAAAATTGTAATAATTATTCGTTCAGGAATTTCGGTTGGAATAGCAGGGCAAGGGGGTCCTTTCCCCTCCCTGCTGATAATAAGAGAATGGCAGAGGCTATGGTCCCAGTATAAAGCCCCAGGACCACTTTGTAAACAAAGTGACCATTCACCATGGATTGGGCTCCTGGCACCAGTGCTGGGATTGGGGAGAAAACCAGAAAATATTAAAGGAGAAAAAATAAGAAAATATGAGTGATTGTTTTTGAATTTTTCAGTTAAGGGAGAGACAAAAATGGAAATTACAAATTAGTTAAAAATTAATAACCAAATAAAGAAAGCACAATATATGAAAAGAACGTGTGGGGTATGGTCAAATTTATATTTAGTAGAAAATTTCTAATTGTACATTTATTTAATAAAAAGATTATGAATAACTGAGTTAAGCATTCAATTCAAGAAGCTAAGAAAAGAATAACAAAAATAAAGTAGAAATAAGGAATTAATAATTACAAAATCAGAAATTAATGAACTTGAAAACAAAACAAAAAGCAATAATTTTTTAAATCATTTTTTTATTTAAAAAATAAAAAGTGGTTTCTTTAAAAGATCAGTAGAATAGAAAAAACTTAAGTGAAACTAATTCAGGGAAAAGGGGAAAAATACTTTTGGAATAAAAAAGAAACCATATTTATAGATGCAGAGAAGTTCTTTTTTAGGTTTTAAGGGGAAAAAAGATATCCAACTTTACACCAATAAATTTTAAAGTGAGATAAAATAATTTTCTTTGAATATGTAAATCTCTGGATGTCATAGAAGGTAGTAAAATCCCAACAACTTTGGCATATTATGGAACTGGAGGGGTGCTGGCCACAGGGTCGGTCCTTGCTGCGAGAAGGGTGGGCCTGTGGGGAGAAAATTACTCTCGAGATCCAAAAGCTCCAGCCCACTCTCCATCAGGAGAACAGACTACTGACCTGACCGGCCGTCCACAGCCGGGACCAGACGTCGAGAGAATGGGCTTGTGGGCTGGAGGAAGGCGGGCAGAGCGACAGGCGCCAGGGATGCCTGGGCCTCTGGGGACACTAGGGTCCGTCGGCCGCCGCGGGGAGGGGACCCGGTCCTCGGGGGTCGCCCCGGCCCCGGCCCCGACCCTAGAGTCCAGCCTCTGCCTCTGTTCCCGCGCGCCGGGAGGGATTTTCCTGCGGCGGAGCTCCGCACGAACGCCGAGCCCCGCGAGTGTGCGACGGGCGAGACAGAACGCGCGGCCGGCAGGGGGCGCCCCGCGGGCCCGCACTAGGGTCCCGGGTTGGGGGAAGGAGGGAGAAAGGCCGCTGGAGGCGAAGGGCTGACCACGGATGAAACCGGCAGGGCAAACAGGAGAACCAGGAGGAGGAGGAGGAGAGCAAGGTTGAAAGATTTTTGGAATAAGAACTGTTGACCAAATTGTACACTGGCCTATGGTGATGCTTCTGCTGTTAGTAGGAACTCTTGCAACCATGTGGGTATGCTGATGAAACAACTATCTAAGCAGATCTGATTTTAAAAAATATCTAAATGAATAAATTATAAAAGAGACTATTTGAAACTAAAATGTATTTTCTTCCAATATAATTTTCTCATTGCAAAGTACTTAAGAGTTGTCCAACTTCAAGATAAATTACGCATTTTTCATAGACAAGTCTTCCAAAACCTTGCTGACCGTTTCTGTAACAATAAGTGGCGGTCAGTAATATGCTTCCAAGTTGCTGTTAAAAAGAAAGAAGCAAAAAACCTCACGAATTATGCTTTCAAAGGTGATGTTTTAACTTAATAAATGAGAATTCACTTTTCAAAAAGACTCGCATTATTGAGCAGTCAGTGTGGAAATGTATATTTGGAAATATTTTCATCATTGTGTAATTTTGTGGACACCTATAAAACTCTTATTTAAATACATAAAAAGAAATGATAAACTGAACTTTCTAACCTATTTTAAAAATCTAAAAAAAGTTACAATAAACATTAAGCACTTTTAAAAAATATTAAATAGAATGTCTTTTGAATAATTAAAAAATACAACTATTTGGCATAGGAAACAATGGAATATTCCTAGCCATGCATGTCACCAAGAACGTTTGCATAATTGGCGGCTAGGATTTAAAATTAGTGCCATGAAATACTAAAATAAAACAAATTGAGAGATATGTTTTCTTCGATAGCTATCACAATCAAGTATTCAATCTTTTTATCGCTAAATATTAATAATAATTTTTAAACATGTATAGGGATACATTGTACGAAGAAACAGAACTTCAGATGAACATATTACAAAGTGTAAAATTTAAAAATTTTAGGCATTTAGTAGGTCTGGATTCACTAGTGAATCCTATTTGTCCTCATCAGCCCCTGTCTAATAGATATTATGTACTCGCTGGATTGAAAATATAGCGAGGTGTCCTAAGAAACCAGGCAAAATGGCCTACTGCCTAGGAATATTTTTCCTTAAGCAGACTAAATTTAAAAGAAATAATATCCTCTTTCTGACCTATTCAAAGATAAAAGGAAAATAAACAATATATAAATGAGACCCTGGAATCACACAGGTTCTTTTTCTTCATTAATGAGTTGACAGGAAAATTCAAGAATTAAGGAAAAATATTTTGACTCTCAAGATAATTGAACTTCACTGTGTTTCACTGGTACATGAAGTCCAGCAAGTGGCTATTTTCACTGCCCCCTTTATGACTGGTTATTGACTAAAGGAGTGATTGATGCAAATATTTAGACAGGTCATGGTTAGGGAACATTTGGTTAAATGGCCTCCAAATTTTTTTCAAAAAATAAAGAATGAAAATTGTTTAAAAAAACTATTTTGGGGGGCCAGCCCCGTTGCATAGTGGTTAAGTTCACATGCTTCACTTCAGCAGCCCGGGGTTCACAGGTTCAGAACCCGGGCACAGACTTATGCACCACTTATCAAGCTGTGCTGTGGCAGGCGTCCCACGTATAAAAGTGGAGGAAGATGGGCACAGATGTTAGCCCAGGGCCAATCTTCCTCAGCAAAAAGAGGAGGATTGGCAACAGCTGTTAGCTTAGAGCTAATCTTCCTCACACACACACACAAAAAAAACAAAAAACAAAAAAAAACTATTTTGGATTGTCTTCTAGAGGGAATCAAGGTCTCAATTTCTTCCAAAACCAAACATTTGACTCTCTTATTTGTCTGTGCTGCAAAGGAAAGAGATTCCAGGTAAGCCAAGATCAATGAAACCACAGTACACTGGCATCCATTAATATAGCAGCGTTCAAACCTAGACAATGGTATCCCCGAGGGGACACGGTACTATCCAGGGGGATGCAAGCATGTGGATTTTAAGAACACATTTTGCATATCCTAAACGTTGATAAACATGCTGGCATAAAATTGATCTGCCTGAGAAGAGAGATGGAAGTTTGGCCTGTCTCCATTCCCTTCCATTCTCACATTTAGACTTTATATCACTATTATACAGAAGAAAGTCCCTCTTACCCAACCCAAGCCTCACCATGGTGCACCGCTCCAGGGTGCAACCTCTGCAACACCAAATAGAGGGACAATTCCAGAAGGCTTAGTGCTTGAGGAGGATTCCCTTGATAGGAAAGCAGAGGGGGCTTTCATAAGATGCTTAAGCTTTATCAGTTAGCTCCTCTCACTCCTCTATCATCAACATCTTTTTCCTGGCTAGTTTTGATCAACATTAAATGTGCTTAATTCATATTTTTCATCCTAAATATGACTATTCCTCAGCCCAACTACCATCTGTATTACCTTGCTTCTGTCATTCTGTTCATATCCAAACTTCTTGAACATTCTCTGCACTCTCGGTCCCTACTTCTTCACCCGCAGCTCATTTCTGCACTCACTATCATGTGACTTCAGCCTCCCTGTTCTCCTGAAACAGCTCAGCCGAGGTTGACAACACACTCCGTCTTACTGAGCTCAGAGGTCACTGTCAGTCAGCCTTGGCCGACACCTCAGAAGCATCTGACTCTGGACCACGTCCTCCTTTTAGAGTTGGACCTTCATCTGGCTTCTGTGTCACCACCATCTTCTGCTTTTCTGCTCCTCCTCTTCCTCTCTTTCCTTTGTTAACTACTCCCTCTGTTTCTAGGGAATTTTGGTGTTCCTCAAAATTCTGTACTAGGCACCACACTTCATCCTCTCTGTGCATGCAGTCTCAACCTCCCCAATAGTTCCAAATGTCATCTCTCTGATTATGACTTCCATGTGGATGTCTTTACCCAGAGTCCCATCTCCAAACATGAGACCCACACTGCCACCTGCTACCCTAGAACACCTCCACTTACCATGTCCAAACTTGACCAACATACATTTACTTGGCTAACTGCTACAGATCCTTGGGATGCCAGCTTAGCAGCTGCTTCCTGTGGAAGCTTTCCCTGACCCATACAAGTCGAACATGCTCCCAGTATCCTGTACTCTCCCTGTGATAGCCACTAGCATGACTTTGATCGAATGTTCAATCACCTATATCCCCACCAGACTGGAAGCTCTGTGACAGCAGGCAATATATCTACTTTTTTCACTGTATCTGGCACCCCTCACAGTGCCAACACATAGAAGGTATATTCACCACTTATTTGTTGAAGTTTAAATTCCATGAATCTATAATATATTTCACTGTAGTTTCTTGCTCATGCACTTGCTGAAATGGAATCAACAACCATTAGACATGATTTCTCCAAGAAAGTAGAAGTACAACTGAATAGCTCTGGTTGCTACAATCTGTCAGAGTGTCTTGTGCATCTCTTTCAGAGCCCTAGAGAGGGTTCCTACCTATGAATTACCTGTCAATGACTCGGCCTGTCTTCTCTGCCAGAAAGCTCCATTAAAGAAAGTAACCTCTTTACACAAGTAAATTACTTGGAGCAGAGATATTTAAAAATATTTTATGGATCACCAAAATGGATGAAACTATTTATGTTCCTTTGG